TTCTCAATACTAAATGCTAAACGATATGATAAAAGGATAAAGATGATAAGGGGAAAGGGGATGGTTATACGATAGGGTGCTCGCCAAGGATTGGGGCCCTTGTGCCTAAGTATGCTCATTCGGACGAGAATGAGAAATCAGAGCGTCGTAGTTCGACTACGGGAAAAGATGAGGGAAAGCGGAAGGTGGATGTAATTGTGCTCGCCAAGATCATCACAATCTTGTGCCTATGTATCTTACATCCAAGAGTGAATGAAGAATCAGAGCGTCCGTAGTTCATGGTAACAACCACGAAAAGAAACGGGATTGAATTAGTTTGAAGCTGGTATGGATGACGATTACTTAAACCTTAAGAAAGACTTCTCAGGCACAAGTAATCGAGAAAGCGAGTCAAAGACTTGACTATCTCTCTTTTTCATCACGGAAGGAGTTGTGTTTGAAAGGGTGAGTTTGAACTGATGACGATTACTTGAAGCTTAAGAAAGACTTCTCGGGCCCAAGTAATTGGGAAAGCGAGTCAAAGACTTGACTATCTCTCTTTTTCATCGGAAAAGAAGTTGTGTTTGAATGGTGTTTGAATAATGAGTGGTTGGAAATAGATGATGATTACTCGAAGCTTAAGAAAGACTTCTCGGGCCCAAGTGATCGGGAGAACGAGTCAAAGACTTGACTCTTTCTCTTTTTCATCACGAAAGAAGAAAGTTGTTTGAGTGGTATTTGAAATAATGAGTAGTTGGACGATGGTTCAACGTTATCGAGTTGTTAATGCTATTAAAAGGCGTCAATTGCTTACACACGAATAAGATAACTCACATTCAAACAACTGAAAGCAAGATCAAAGACTTGATCCCACTCTTTACACCTTGAAAAGAATTAAATAGTTGTTAATTGATTGATAGTTTTTTATGAAAATCCGCTTGACGTTAGATCAAGGGTTTAGCCTATTTTCGCGTGCAAAACATGTGGGAATGGAAATGGTTTGAAAGATGGATCGACGACGAGTCGAGGGTTTGTATTGAAAACGGAACCGGCTTGACTTACGTATCAAGGGTCAGGTTATGGGAAACGATACTAGTCCCTAAGGGTGCCCCCAATATCGAAACCACAATGAAGTGTGTGCAATAGGTCGATGGCAAGTGCGGACGAGCACTCGACTTACAGAGGGGTGTTTGAAAATGGCTCGACGACGAATCGAGAATTAGTTTGAAAATAGTCTGATCTACGCTAGTCCCTATGGGTGCTCCTAGAAGATAAACCAATAATTAAAGAAATACGAAACATACATCGGAATGGGAGAGGGATACGTGTAATTTACACGGGTTTGCATGAAATAAAGGGGTCTCATTGTCAGGTAGTCCAAGAGAAAATTGTGTGTGTGCATTGTGTCCTAAACTATGCCTTGACCTAAATTCGGGCACAACTCCATGTTAGGGTTCCTGCAAATGACCAATGATCCAATGGTCCACCAATTTGGCTTTTAGCGTTTCGATAATTTATTATGTGTTTTCGAATATGGGTGAATAAGAATGATGAATATGATGTGGGTATGAATAATATGAATAATATATCAAGATAATATAACAATAATATTCACAATAATATTTAACTGAATTATAAAGCAATTAATATTTGACGGAAATTAAAGTTAGTGGTTAGTTTTGTTAGGAATTAAATCGGGACAAATGTAACGCTAAACCGTTGTAGCTCGACTTATGATGAAAGTTGAACTATAGGAGGTCGCGTGAATTGATATCCGTGCTAAAAACAAGATAGAGAAATGGTATTGAGAACCATTCTCCAATTTAATCGTGTCGCACAGACAAAATTTTATTGGAATATTTATTTAATTTATTTAAATAAGAATATTCGTATTTCAGTGATTTTCGGTGGTTTTGTGGAATATTGGGAATTAATGGAATTTGGGTTATTTATTTTGAATAATAATATATAATATGAATATATTAATATTATTATTAATTAAAATAAATATAAGTGAAATAAGGGCAAATTGGACAATTAAGAGGAGTTAGTGAGGATAATATGGGAAAAGCCCAATTGTGAGGCCCTAATCTAGGTTTAACAAATATAAAATTGTGAAGTGATTAGGATTCATTTGTTAGACCGTGAAGAGAATTGAGGCCAGAGCTTTGAGAAGGAAGATTGGAGGCAAAAGATTCGAAAGGTTCCCAGAAATATTTGAGAAGGCTTTGATCGACAATTAAGGTATGGAGAGTATTACCTTCATGATTTTCCATGTGTAACTTTCAATGTATTTAAGGTCGATTTAAGGTTTAGGGAAATTTGAGGGTGGATATGAGAAATAGTGATCTTTGGCCTTCATAGCCTAAATCTGTTATTGTGAATCTAACCGTGGAATTCATTGGGGAAAAGGAAAAGTTAGGCCTTCGTGGCCAAAACCATGATTTGTTATTTGTCTAACCCTGAAGGGATAGGAATATTAGATAATGAGTAACTCTAATGCCTTGGGATAACTGTAGGGAAATTTGTGATTTAGGGCGTGAATATGATACGGGATTGGTCTAATAAACCATAGGTTTTGTGCCTTTACCGCCGTAAGACCTTAGGGTGATTTATGGATGTTTTGGGGGTATTGGGGAAGTGAATCGTGTGGACATTTGGATGGATTTAGGTTCTGGTGTGTAGCAGAATTTGCTGTTATCGCACGGTTCGCCTAGCGAACCATGTTGTTCATAGACTCGCCTAGCGAAGAATCCTTCGCCTAGCGAAGAAACTCGCCCCAAACTCGCCTAGCGAACATGTCAGCAAGCGTCGCAGAGTTTCGCGAATGTTGATCGTGTGCAGCGATGTTTTGATGTTTGATTCTGTGATTTCTTTTACGAATTAACATGAGTAGGACTGCGAAGTTTATGTGATTAATAGGCGATAGTATGAGGATTGCCACGAGTATATTTATGAATTAATATGTGATGGTATGATGAATTAATATGAGTATGACTGTGAGCGCTGTGTGATTTGTACATGATTATATGATGATTTCTATGATGTATGATGATGATTATTATGATGCGCTATGATGACATGATGTATGATGATGATTATGATGATAAGCTATGACGTTTGATGATGATGAATATGATGAATGATGATGCACCTATGATGTTATTATGAGGATGATTTGTGACGTGTGCATCATGCATTCATGTGCATCTGGACTTTGGTTTAGAACCTCGATTACTTTGGCTGCAATCCCATTATATGGATGTGAAGTGTTTTGATGTGCTCAGGTTCTCTAGTAGAATCGATCCTATTGATGGGGATCTATGGAGGGTTGATGGCCCAGTGTCCATCATGCTGTAATGGTTGGTACCACATGCATTGAGTCTTGTTGCATTTGCATTTATGAGTCATTTGGAATAATTTATGATGTTGTGGCCTTTGAGGCCTATTGATGGATATAAATGTGTTGAATATGAAGATGACCCATATGATATATTGATTTTCATACATTGATTATTATGAACCGTTTTACTTACCCTGCCTGTTTGAATGTTACCTCCACGTGGGTAAAGTGCAGATGACCGGGTTTAGCCGTGGACGCCGTTGAGAACTTTTGAAGTTTCGAGTTGTTAGCCTTTTGGTTAACTTAGAGGATCTTGATCCGATAGTCTAACATCGGGTTGGGGTCTATGTTTTAATTGAGTTATTTTGATTATCTTTCGGTATAAAGAAAACCTTGGATTATACCTTTTGAGTTCTGCTGCCTTTGAGCAATTTTTGATATATTTTAGGAAAACCCGTTGTACACGGAGCCTTGACCTATTTTGTTGATTTGGGAAATGTACGCCCTTTTGGGTGGCTTTTTGTCGAAATTTAATAATTATTCTGATATTTGTGTTATTTTGCCATAATATTTGTGTGGTAGAAAAGGGTGTTACAGGATCTCGTCTTAATCGCAAACATTATGTCGATTAATCGAAGGTAGCCTTTCACGATCCCAAAGTAAAAAAATGACCCAAATGGTCATTTTCCATAGATTTGAAATCGAGAAGGTTATCAACTTCGATAAAACGGCGTTTTAGGAATAAAAAAACATCATAGATCGAAAAAAAATAATAAAAATGGAAATGGAGAAGAAATTGAAATAGAAAATGAAATGGTCTCGGATAAATTGTCATCTATCAATAGTTTGACCGATAACAACTTATGAAATTTCGTCATTGACCAAAAACGAAAAAAATGAAATAGAATGAATAAAAATGCATGAAAATGAATAAAAATGGATAAAAATCGAAAATAAAAATGAAAAGAAAATATGGTCTCAGATTTATTGTTTCTCATCAATAATTTGACGGAAAAACAATTTATACGTCTCTTCATCGACGCAAAACGATAAGAATAAAATTGAAATGGAAAGAAAAAGGGAATGAGAAATAAGAATCGAAGATAATAAAAAGAAATATTTCCAAAACTTAATCACGAAAATAATATTTAACAAAGTACTTAGTTAAATAATATACGAAGTTAATAACAAAATATCATTAATACTTAACTAAACCTCAATAAAAATATGAGCAAAATAAATAAAATTATAAGAAACAAATTTAGAATAAACAAAAATGATTTTAAAGAAATCCATGGGGTATACACAAGTTAAAATGGGGTGTGTGGTAATAAGGATCACATGGGCTGATAAGCCCATCACCTTAACCCACGGTTGAAAAAAAACTGATAGGTGCAAACAGGTTGTGGGGGTGAAGAAAAAACTGAGCCACAAAAAGAAAAACAAACATACAAAAAAATTAGTGGAATTATTAAATGAATTAAAAAGGGAAGAGATATTGATCTCTTCTTCTTCCTCACGGCAACTGTGACTGAAATGAGAAAAAAATAAAGAAATCCACGCGCATCACGATGAAGAGCAAATCTCAACCTTCTTCGCGATTTTAGATCCTCTCTTCTTTGATTTTGTTTTCTCGCGGTCTCGAACTCAAGTTCAACACTTATTTCGGCTTCGTTCCATGCTCGTATTGAACCATTTCCAGGTTTGTATTGTTTTGTGCTTGCTACAAAATCGTCTTCACTTTTCGCTCATAGATTTGCGATTCTGATTCGTATTTGGTTTTCACCTCTTCTTCATCTCAACTCTGTTCTGGGTCGATTTTAGGTTTACGGGTTTCATGGGTTACGTTGGATTGTTGAAGGGGGTCCGAAAAATGGGTTTGTAGTTGTGGCTGGGATTTGCGGTTGATGGTTGGAGGAAAAAGATGGATGGGTTTGAATGGCTATTATGTCGAGGTTGAAGAAGAAGAGTGAGGCGTTGAAGGGATGGTCCGTTCAATGAGGAAGGCCAAGGGTTTCTTGGTGTTGGAATTCTTAATGTTTTTGTAACAGACCTCTCTTTTAGTAGCAAGGTATGAGGTGTTATGATTGTCATTTTTTCCACTTTATGTGCGTTTCAATTTTGCGGTGGGTTTTTGGTGTTCGTGCGATTTGTGCATTTTCGGGGCCAGGTTGTGTTTTCTTTTTTCGTTGTGTTTTCTTTTTTCGTTTTGTGGAAAAGGATAATAGTTGGATCATTAAAACGGCTGAAACGCAATTACGCATGGTCTTGGCTGATGGCAGGTTTGATTTCTGTAAAATATGCAGCATGTAGTTATTTGTTACTAGCATGCTAATAGTTCTATTATTTGCTTTTAAATGATATAGATTTGGCTCAAGTGTGGCAATGTTGGAGTGCGGTGGCTGAGCGAGTTGAAGGCTTGCAACAAAAGACATCATATTACATATGGTTGTATGCTGTTTGGAATTACAACTGCAAGGTGGCGGTATACGGATTCTGTGCGTAATGTGCCAGCTGGGGACCTCATGTTTTGTCCCACAAATTCTTTCTTTCATAACTCTCGCATTCCTTCATGTCACGAGGCTGGCTCCTTGCTTGCAAGAATAGGAGTTGTGATGGGAATTACAAATGGGCCCTCTCTTAGTCTCTTTTTTTTTAAATAAGTTTTTTTTTAAAAAAACTTTTCCAACAATAGTTTTTGAATGGGCCTTTTTTAGGAATGAGCTTTGATTGTCTTGGTCCAATGCCGTTTTGTAGAAACCCTTTTTTATAAAAAAAAATAATCTCTTGACAAATGAATAATAATAAATAATAAATCATTTACAACTCGAAATCCTCCTGAATAATGCCTTACTTTTGGTCCCGATTTTGCAATTGCTTTCGAATGATATCCTTCATGAATAATGATGACCAAAGCAACCACAATTCAAAGAGAACACGATTAGCCTCTGAGGAACAAAACCAAATGGGCCAAAATTAAATATTGATCTGAAATATGCCATGCTTGAAATGAGTCCAAAAATCAACAATCTTGAATTTTCGCTAAAAATTGAATAAAGATTCTATTCCACTCCGAACAAGCAATAATCACTCTTACACAGAGGCCTCGAACATCACTTGATCAAACCAAGTCGCTTGCTCGGAACCCTGGCCACAAATGGATCAGTCCAGAGCTTTTATTGTTGTACCCCAAAATTTGACCAACCTTTTCTTTTAACTTGACTTATGTTTCTTTTCATTTAGCATTTGCATTTGCATAGCATTGTTCCCAGTAGGGGATCAAGAGGTTTTGTTTTGTCATTCAAGAGGAGAGCTTCTTTGTTCAACCTCAAGCTAGGATACTTGTTCAAGCCATCAAGAGCTCATTGTCATCATCAGGGTAAAGTTTTAGAGCTCCTTGAGAGGAGAGGTTTGTCTATGGGTATCATCTCCTATCTTGAGGATCATCAGAGGGTCATCAGAGGATCACGAGGTCACTTTCTTGGATAAGACATGATTTAAAAGCTCATTATGTACTTTGAGAGTTCTTTGTGGAGCTTATGTGGTCATACAATTCATCTACAAGAGCCTAAGTCAAAAGAATGTGAAGCTAGGGTTTCATCTGGTCAACCCAAAGTCAATTATGGACTTGAGAGGGTTCAAGACTTGGTTCTAGTACATTGAGACATGGGAAGTAACCTCAAAGCATCTAGGATGTCCTGTTAAGATAATATCAAGGAGATTCAAGGATTCAAGGAGTTACTAAATTAGGGTTTCAGATGATAATAATGTAAAATCCCCTTCTTTGCTGCCTAACTTCAAGGACAATTTTCCCTATGATGCAAGCTCAATCTCACTTTCATGAAAACATGGGACTTGTTCATCATCTCTTAAGATTTCTTTTGAGTACAAGAAATCATCCATTGAGTTGTACATCTCAAGTTATGATGCCAACAAGTTGGTGTCCTCAGATGAAGGAAATTTTAGTCAACTCAAAGTCAACTCACTTCCAAGGCATTTTTGACATGGAATCAAGCTTCTCCTCACCTTCAAGCGAATATGAAAGTTGTTCCTCATGATCTTAGATTTCCAAAAAATCCTAGAAGTCCTTTTTATCATGTGTATATCTCATGTTATGGACTTCACAAGGAAATGGTATTTTGGGAAAATTCATTATAGGTCATTTACTTTAATGACCAATTACATGAACTTTGAGACCTCAAATCCAATTTTGTGCCACATGAATGTTGTGGAACTCACATTGGTTCAACTTCATCATGAGCTTGATTTCCATGAAGTTTGATGGATTATGTGATCATATGGACCATTTAAGTTTGAAAATGTGACTTTTAAACATGAATTGGGTTCCTTCATTTACAAATCACCGAATGACTTTGTTTTTGAATTTTTCACACTGGAATGACATCAAACTTTTGTCTTGCAAATCTTTGCCATTTTTGGACCAACCAAGATGCACATTCCATGCCATATTTTCAAAAGTCATACCTTAAAATTCATGTTGCAAAACTATGTACTAATTGATCCTACATAACCAAAACCCATTCATTTTTTTTTACACACTCTAAATACATTTTTGCTGACCAAAAAAAGAGTGAAAGGAGTTGAACCCGTGTGTGGTGTATAAGTGATTTATTTTGGCCAAGTTTGAAAATCTCTCTAATGAATCAACATGGGCCTGCATGACCATTGAAAATCAATCGCATAAAAACCAATTAACTTGCCCTAATCATCAGAACTGGCTGCAACTGCTTGAGAGAGAGGAGAGAACTTGAAATTTTCACAAAAGAATTCACTCTTCGAATCTGGTTATTGTTGCACCCTAAAATTTGCCTACCGGTTCTCCGACTTTGACTGGCTTTTGCTTCGTTTTCATCTACATATCATTTAGGTCGCATCTTGCCCGTGTTATCAGCCGAATTGAATTTATCAGGATTTTAGCCACTTAGCTCGCGTTTCAGGCGATTCAAATCAATTCAAATGAGAAGTTCAGTGTTGAAATCGAGCGAAATTTGCTCTCCTCTTGATAATTCAATCCATATTGATGATATCGGCGCATTTCGGCACTCACCCGTTTTTCCATGGCATTTTGCATTTTATTGTTATTTTTGCTCCATGTTGAATTGTTTAGAAATTATTTTAAATAGATTTCAATATAGTTTTTAATTGTTTTTAGAGTTTTATTAATTGGATTTTATTTAGTTTTTTTTAATAGTTTAAATAGCTTTTTGTTAGAAAGTAGAGTTTTTATTAGATAATTGTTTCTATAGTTTTTATTTATTTGAATTTTATTTAGGTTTATTTTTCTTTTAATTAGAGATTTATTAGATTAGTCAGATTTTAATTAAGAGTAGAGGTTAATTATTATTAATATTATTAGATTAGGATAGTTGATTATCTATTTTAGTCTTTTATTAATAGGATTAATTTGATTTAATTAATATTCAACATTTTCATTAGTGGTCCATTTAGTTAACATCAGCATGTACATTAATCATTTAATCAAGCTTTGCATTAATTAATCAGCAAATCAAAGCCTCAAGCAGGCCACGTGTCAACATTCTACAGTATAATTTACTATTTATTTTCTTCTTCCCCTCAACCCTAGAATTCTGCGCCTCCCTTCCTCATCCACCTTCCAACTTCATCACTCACCTTCATACCAGTTTCCAGATTCGAATCCTCACTCAACTTCATCTTCTCAAAAACCCCTGTTCTTCTGCGAACCCACCGATGAAAACCAACACCTTCAAACGACTTTGTTCAACATGAAATTCAACTACCATCATCAAAAACTTCATCGAACCCTCCATTCACAACCATTGAGCCTTCTTCCAATATTCACCATCAACCAAGAACAAAACCAACAAGTTCAAACTCTCAGAAACCTTCTTCTCCACTCGATCTTCATTCAAGAACAACCCAGAACCTACCTTCATCAACAGACCTACCGCAAAATCCACACCCTGTTCTTGAAGTACCCAGAAACATCTTCAACAATCTCAACTAACAATCTTCCGAAACATAACACCAAACTTCTCCAAAAAAACCAGAGATTGAGACCTTCAAACACCTTCGTCTTTCTCAACAACTCCGTCAAACCTACCTAGACATTCCTCTTTCAACCTTAACTTCATCAACAGCAAACCTCCATCCACAAAACCATTCATAAATCATCATCATCTTTTGCAGATCCCTCACTCGCGACCCCATCTTCTCCATCGTTACCATTCAAACCCATATCGTCACCCTCACAAATCCTCCATCAACCTTAACCCAGATTTCAGCTTCAAATCCTCTTCCACCACCATTTTCACCATCTTCATCATCACTATGAAAAACCCCATCACCTCCATTAATATACTTCAACATTTAACCACCAATTTAACACCTTCTAAGATCTTCAACCGAAACCCATTTTGTTTCTCCTCACAACCATTCTCAACCTTAGATTTTATGGAATGAAAAGAAGAGTTTGTGGCAGAAAGTGTGATTGGAGGAAAACGTTTTGGAGAAGAGGAAGAAATGGAGAGGGTTCGTAATGAGCAAAACGAAACAAAGAAGAAGAGGACTCTTTTCTTTCCTTGTTTTTTCATGTTGACTGAGTTTGTTGTTGGGCCTTTGAGCCCAACCATGTTCCATTTGGGTCTCACCCCCTATTTCCTATCCAGACCCCAATTTCGTTTCTTTTTTGAAATATATATTTTATTTTTTGTGGATATTATTATATGTATATATTATAGTTTTAGATTCATGTGTGTGTGTGCCTATATATATATATATATGTGTGTGTGTGTGTGTGTGTATATATATATATATATATATATATATATATATATATGTGTGTGTGTGTGTGTGTGTGTGTGTGTGTGTGTGTGTGTGTGTGTGTGTATATATATATATATATATATATATATATATATATATATATATATATATATATATATATATGTGTGTGTGTGTGTGTGTGTGTGTGTGTATATATATATATGTGTGTGTGTGTGTGTGTGTGTGTGTACACACACACACACACACACACACACACACACACACACACACACACACACACACACACACACACACACACACACACACACACACACACACACACACACACACACACACACACACACACACACACACACACACACACACACACACACACACACACACACACACACACACACACACACACACACACACACACACACACACACACACACACACACACACACACACACACACACACACACACACACACACACACACACACACACACACACACACACACACACACACACACACACACACACACACACACACACACACACACACACACACACACACACACACACACACACACACACACACACACACACACACACACACACACACACACACACACACACACACACACACACACACACACACACACACACACACACACACACACATATATATATATATATATATATATATAGACACACACACACACACACACACACACACACACACATATATATATATATATATATATATATATATATATATATATATATATATATATATATATATATATATATATATATATATATATATATATATATATATATATATATATATATATATATATATATATATATATATATATATATATATATATATA